GAGAGAGAGAGAGTTGATTGTAATTCTTTCGTAGAAACCATAACACGCATGCTTCTTACACAACAACAAATGTATAAAACTTCTTCGAAAATTAAAAAAAAAAGAAAAAAACACGATTCGATTGAAATTGTTGTAAACGCTTTTTCACCGAGAATCGTAATTTCACGCCCAAATAGATTAACAACGTGCTTTCTTATTTCTTCGATAACCGAGACGCGAGCACGTATGATTATTGTTAATTATCGTGTATCGCGTACAAAAGTTTTTTTTTTTTTTTTTTTTACAAAACCTGCGTGTGTACAAAGCAAGAAGATCGATACGATCGAAAATACGAACGCGGATTATTGGATCTAATTCGACGGTGTGCGTTATGCGATGGGAACGCGCGTTGTGGATCACCGGAGGGCCGTAATTCGAAGGATAATATTAAGATTGCTTCAGAATGAAAGAAAAAGAAAAAAAGAAGAAGCAAAAAAAAAAAAAAGATGGCCGGATGGCCGCGCGTGTGTGCCCTTACGGTCTACCTTACTTTTAGTGGCGCCGTGAGATCGGTTCGAGACGATCGTTTTGAATTTTTAAATTTTTTCTTCTTCTCGATTCGCTCGCGCCCTTGAATAAAATAAAAAGCCCTCCGAGAAATTGAATTTATCCACGAATCGTTTCCTCCTTCGACGAAGAAGATACAAAGAAATTGGAAAAGTGTGATGTCCGCGCTCGGTTCAAATTTCTGACGAAGTTGAACGTATATTATATTTGTTACCGAGCACACGATATTAAGTTAACCGATATTTCATTTGGCGGACAAATTTCTAACATTGTGTCGACCTTGTGGCGTATGATTATTTCAATTATTTTATTACGAACCGTATCAATCTCGGCCCATATAATGCATATAATCAGAAGGCTATTATTCCACGAGCGCACGGCTGGCAAGGAAAGGACCACCTCCTCCTCCGTATAGCCCTCCATACCGTCGTAGTCTCGCCCGTTTTCGTGATATTGTAATTTGGAGACCGCAAACCTCGCTGACGTCATTGGTATCCAACTTGGCGGATGGAGCATCTTGCCGGCGTGGCGCACGATCGAAACTCTTTCCCTCCGCTCTTTCTTATTGGCCGACAATTTCGATGAAAAGCATATTAAAGGGCGACGAATTATAGGAATTTCGGCAGATTAGATTGCGCGCCGAATTGAAGGATTGCGTTACTAATTTCCAACGAAAACGCCGACGCGCTTCTCGTTGCTTCAAGATTTATTTGATTACCTTCGTTGCGACGAAGATTATGTTTTATATATATATATGTATATAGTCGTTTAAAAAAATTCGTTCAATCACGTGGATCGATATCGAGGCGTAACAGTAACAACCGTTTCGTTCAACGATCGATACGTAAAAGCGAAAAGAGAAGAGAAGAGACGGGGCGAGAGTGTTTTCTTGTTCAAACATTACACGCGTATACACGCGGGCTGTCATTTATTCAGAGGCGATTGCACGCCATAACGTTTCGCCAGTTGTTTGGCTATATACGTTTCGAATGTACCGAGGTGGTTTATTACTAGAAAAAAATAAGAAGGTGGATCGTAAATGGAGCGGCTGGAATAACAGGGTGCAGGGAATAAGAGCAGAGTTTGCATTGGAAGATAATAAACGTAGAAAACGATCGTTTAATGAGGAAACATGCGGGGCTGGTTTTTTTTACGAGGAAGTAACGTTCAATAACTATCAAGCGTGGTGGGCCAATTAGACGGTTGTTCCTTCCTTTTCCTTTCTTTCGTTCGCTCGTGGTATACCAATTACCGTTAAAGATAACTTAATACGTGTATCAATTAATATCATCCTTATCCTCCGACACTCGAAATATCATCAGAGTTATATTCCATACTCCTCGTTTTCCTTATTCCAAGGAAACGCTGGTGGCAACAACGCGGATGAATGAGAAAGAGCTCGTTGATCGACAGATTCGGTTGGTGGGTGTTTTTCAGCGGTCCTGCTTTGTTGTTGAAAAATAACTTTGTTGTTGTTGCCTGATTCGAGTATTTTACGCTCTTCCTCCTTCCACGGAGGAAGGAAGCGTGGAGTGAAAAAAAAGAAGGAGAAGAGGAGGAACGGTATAATGCTAATATATGGGAATCATATTGAGCTTCTTCATTCTTAAATAGTTTGAAATTATACTTATCCAGGATGGAGCCGATTATAACACTGTATCAAGATAGACGAGAACTACATCCCTACGCAACAGCTAATTGCATAGGGACGAGGGAAAGAGGCCTTGATAATTCTTCGAGCATGTAGCCACGCAATTAAGGTGTAACGTTTCTGAAGTTTCTGGTCGTAAACAACGCGGGCAAAGTAGCGGAACCTCCGTCGGGTTCCGCCCGTCAATTGTTACCAATTGTTGCCAATCAGAGTAATACGTGTCATTACGGTGCGAGAAGGTTAGCAAGGCAACGCGCTCCTCCACCATTCCTCTCCGTGCACGGAACGGATTATGACCGAGCGGCGGTATTAATTCGGTTTCAACTACAATTACATCATCGACACGCGCGCAAATCACCAATTAATCGATAATAAAATAATATTATATTTTTAATTCCAAACTTCCCTTATCCACGCGCGCGCGATCGAATATATCGGTCGGGAACGATAATTTTAACACCGATTTGAAAAAGCGACACGCTAAACACTCGTGTCTCGTCGCCCGTGTATTCGTTATCAGCCGCTTAAATTATTCGTCGCGACGATGAAGCTACGCACGAAACTACCCGTGTATCTAATTGAACAATGGTGGTGTTATTAATATTAATAATAATAATAATAATAATAATAATAATAATAATAATAGTGATATCTCAAGGTTACGGGAGTCATTAATTAAACTATAAATGTAATTAGCCTAGCTATTATCAACGCGTACGCGCAGGTGAATATGAAAAAATGTGCCGCCGCACACCTGTCATTATATCTGAATGAATATATGGAACGATTAAAATTAATTAGCGGGACATAGAGATTCGTTTCTTAACACGTTTTCTCTCTTTTCTTTTTTCTTTTAACTGTCGCCGGCCGACAATTTGTTTAAAATTAATTAAGATAGCGCATCAAAATGGCGCGGTACGAGCGAACTTTACGGTCCAGAAATCCGGTGTTGTTTTTATGCTTTGTATATATATATATATATATATTATATGTATATAGATGTCGTGAGAGTCGTGGCGGATACTCAAGCCGACGAAGAGAGAGGACACGATTCGTGCCTACCTTAATTTTTTTTTTTTTTTTTTTGTCAAATTTCCTCTTCCACGAAACGGGTACACGTTGTTGCTCGAACATCGCTCGATGAGCCTCTTCGTTTTTTGCACGATTTAAGGGGGGCTCGGTCTGATTGGAGCTCGAATTGACCAGTGAACGGCAGCCGATCGAAATCGATTTGAAAGTCGCGATGTATCGTGCTCGTTGTGCAGCTATAAGAAGAAGAAGAAGAAGAAGAAGAAGAAGAAGAAGAAGAAGAAAAGCAGCACGTTCGTGCATCGCGTGGCAGAAACTGAACCAACCAGTGGCCACGCCTCCTTAGACAGCCGCCAGCCAACAATTAAGATTTGATCGGCAAAAATGGTCGAGGCAAAATGGCGCTGGCCACTGAATACGTAATGCTCATGGACGAGACTTGGCCGAGGCAAGCTGCCGCGGAACACGTGCTTCCTCGCATCCGGAACTGCAGTCAGACTCGCGTTTATGATTACAGGGTAAACTTGCTTCGATTACAACTCTCCTCCACTTCTTATCGTCCTCCCCGTGACTGATGTCGATATATATATATATATATATGTAACTCGTCCCAAACGTTTCCTCTCGATAAGTTCGCCTTAATAAAACTTAATTTCAC